GTGTATATTCCTTTTCTCTCTCTTTTTTTAGAGGGTCAGGCATCCTCTTTGGAACTTTGCTAGAGTTTGATTCTTATTTTTGGTCCTATTGCCAGGAAAGTAGGTGGAAATAAATCCTTTAGAGGGTGAGTATTGTCTTGTAAAGCATCTGCCTCCTTTGAAGCCTTTGTGTGATTTTTATGTAAACCAGAAATGGGCCAATTCTGTAGGCTCAGAGAGTTCAGAGAAATCTAGAGATTCAAGATTCTCAGCTGCATCTGCCCACATGTGCCTATCTCAAGTGTCAGGATTTTACCCCCTTTTTAAAGAACCCTAACCCGGGCATAGGAAATCTACTGGGGCTGAGAATTCAACCTTTTCTAAAGCTCTGCTACTCATGTAATTAACATTAGTCCTCCACTCTGATGCCCACTGGATGCAGAGATTAAGATTTCCTTAAATGCTTTCAAGAGCTCTGGGTGGCTTTTTCAGTCTGTCTTGACTTGGTGATCAATTCCATGGAACTTATAGTTACCATTTCCCTCACACCTCTCAAGTGCCAGAGATACTGCAGGCGTGCCTATCTTCTCAACCAACAACCCCTTCCAGTGGACCTCTGCTGGCGGTTTCAGTCACTGCATCACTTCAGCACGTTAGACTATCCATATCCACCTAACACCATAAGAGTTCCTTTTGTCAGCCAACAGGTGAAAAATTTATCACCCAAATCCCCTTTTAGAGTTTACTTGCTAGAGCCACTCCTGACACAAACTGTCTTAAATTGGATCTCTTGGAAAAAGACCAAGATGAAGAGACCCGTGAACAAGGTTTATTGGGGAGAGCGAGCATGCACTCTCAGGAGATGCAAATGTAAGGTAGTGAGGAAGGCAAGGTTTGGCAGAGGGGGAAACTGACCCACAATGAAAATATAACAGAAGCTTCAGCTGATCCAGTGGGGAATGTAGGAGCTAGAATGGCCCTTCGAAGTTGTCCAAAATTGAGGCAAAGAGGCCAGATCTTTGCACTCCTGCATAAACCAGAAATTGCCTCACCCAAGGTTACATGAGGTTAACCTACCCTGTGGGAGGTCGTGTAACCTTGGGTGAGGCAATTTCCTGCCACACAAAGCACTGCCCTGAGGGAAGCAGCTGTGCTATCAGCATCTGATATTCCCACCAGCTGGAGAATGGACTCAGTGGCCCCAAAGGGGACATGGGTGGAGCACTATAGTATTAAATGCATTTAAAAAAGTATTATTGCACACAGATGTGCCCAGAACTGTGCTAGAGCCCATGGAATCACATGGCCTGGCTATCAAGAACCTCATAAACTACACACAGTATTTTTAAAAATGTGTATGTTGTCTGTTTCCATGTCCTAGGACATAAGTTCTGGGGGGGCAGGAACTGTGTTTTATTACTTTCCCCCAGGTGTCTAGAACTTGATTTGTAGTTGAATTAATCTAATTGGAGGCTTGAGATACGAAGGAGGAGGAAGTGGCTACGTGTTATGCAGAATAGTAGTGGCAAGCATCCAGAGAAAGAGAGGTGAGGCTCAGCGTGGGTGTGAGGACCTCATCTGGAATCATGGCGCCAAGCTAGAGCATTCTCTACTCAAGGGTGGGACTCTGCATGAAGGAAGTTCACGCGTTCATCATGTGCGATTTGTTTATTTATTTATGAGCAAATATTTTAGTTAAACATTAAGAGAGAAAAAAACACTTTGGAAAGCATACAGAAAAGGTAGTTGATGTTGAATCACTTATGAAATGAAACCTTAAGGAGTCCGACAAAAATAAACCTTTGGCCCTGGCTGGTGTAGCTCAGTGGGTTGAGTGAGGACTCCGAACCAAGGGTCGTAGGTTTGATTCCTAATCAGGGCACATGCTTGGGTTGTGGGCCAGGTCCCCCGTAGGGGGCATGCAAAAGGCATGACACATTGATATTTCTCTCCCTTTCTCCTTCTCTTCCCCCTCTCTCTAAAAATAAATAAATAAAACCTTAAAAAAGGAGGCGAGTGGTAGGGAGAAAATGCAGACAACTGTAACTGAACAACAATAAAGTAATTTAAAAAAGAATAAGACAACTGTAATTGAACAACGATAAAGTAATTTTTTAAAAGAATAATACAATATAAATAAAAAGAAAAGGTTAAATAAAAATAAAGGCAAAATTAAAAAGCTAGACAAAAAAAAGAAAAGTTACTTTTTAAAAAATGTACCTTTGGTCAACTTTTGCTTGTTTAAATTCCTTTTGACCTCCTGTCCCAGTGCAGGTGAAAATGACAGCTGCCGCGAGAGGTATGGAGTTGGAGACTCTGGGACAATCGGAGGGCATGGGGGTTACATACTCAGGCAGTGCCTTTCTTTTCTTTCTTTTTTCCTTCCTTCCTTCCTTCCTTCCTTCCTTCCTTCCTTCCTTCCTTCCTTCCTTCCTTCCTTCCTTCCTTCCCTTCTTCCTTCCTTCCTTCCTTCCCTTCTTCCTTCCTTCTTTCCTTCCCTCCCTCCCTTTTCCTCCCTCCCTCCTTCACCTCTGGACATTTTTTCATTGCCTTCGAGAGAGAGGAAGGTAGAAAGAAAAATATCGATGCAAGAGTGAAGCACTGAGTGGCCGTCTCCTGTTTGCACCAGGACCAGGGATCCTACAACAGCTACCAGGCCATGCTCCAACCAACTGGGCCATACTGGTCAGGATTTCTCTGGCAGTGTTTTCATTTCCTTCGCAGCCTCACTTTCACCTCTGTTATCACCAAGTAGTGCAAGCAACCATGGCAACCTGCTCTGTGAAAATGTCTTCGCCTCTTGAGCTGCAGTAGAAGGCCTGGGCTTGTGGTCCACATGGTCCAGTTCCCCGAAAGTCAGTGAAGACCACTCTTGTCTGCAGTCACAGGGATGCTGCTCTTCCCACAAGCCAGGCTGTGGATTCTCCAGAGGTCCTGCATGGCCTTTGGATACATAGTAGATTCACAGGACATGTTGGCGGCCCCCAGAAAAACAGACCACCCACTTCAATGACAGCAAAGGAGCAGGTGTAGCCAGTGTAGATCTGGGATACCTCACACCCAGGGAAGCTGAACAGCTCCACCAGGCAGGGGGCCGTCTCCTCCTTCTGCTCTGCATGGCCCCAGCCAGCTGTAGCCACTGAAGGCCCAGAAGAAGATACTCTTCTGGGAGTCAAGGATCACCATATGGTTAGCACCACAGGCCACATCTCATACGACCACATTGGAGACTGGCAGAATCTGCCCATCTTTTGTCTTTTTTATGAAGATGACCACTTGACAGGATGCCAGCTTGCAGTCGTACTCTATGCGCTGAGCCCCAACTTTGAACTTCCCGTCTGAGTTGTGTCTCAGCTGATCATATTCAAGGCACCCAAAGGAATAGAGGTTCCTTTGCAATCCATTATCATACTGAGCTCAGCCCCACAGACCATTTTGGTAATTGGATGGCCAATGTACATGATCCGTGCAAGGCTTAAGACATGTTGTCCATCTGGTTGCCAAGGCCCAGCTGCCCCATCTTGTTCTCTCCAGATGCAAACACAGAGCTCGTGTTTGCACGAGCCGGGGTGTGGTTCCTCCCACAGGCCACTGACACGATCACTCCGTGGCTGAGACCCTCAATGATTCTGGGGGATTCAACTCTCTTGGTGTTGCCGTATCCTAGCTGCCTCAGCTCCATAGCTTCCCTTTCATGTTGATAAGGAGGACACTGCATGCAGTGTGTGGTCCTGAAACCACTATCCACACCTGGACCCCTGACAGGTACTGATATCTGTGGGCCCCCCACAAATTCTGACCAAGATCGTGGTAGGCAACTTGTTGTTTAGGTACTTCTTTTTTTTAAAAGATTTTGTTTAGCCCTGGCTGGTGTGGCTCAGTGGGTTGAGTGTGGGCCTATGAACCAAAGGGTTGCAAGTTTGATTTCCAGTCAGGGCACATGCCTGGGTTGTGGGCCAGGTCCCAAGTTGGGGGCACTCAAGAGGCAACTACACATTGATATTTCTCTCCCTCTTTCTCTCTCCCTTCCCTTCTCTCTAAAATAAATTAAAAAAAAATTTTTAAAGACCTTATTTATTTTTAGAGAGAGGGGACAAGAGAGAGAGACATTGATTGGTTGCCTCTCTCATATGTGTGTCCCAACTGAGGACCCCACCCACAACCTAGGGATGCACCCTGACTCGGAATTCAACCAGCAACCTTTTACTTGGTGGAATGATGCCCAACCAACTGAGCTACACCAGTCAGGTCTAGGCACTTCTTTTTTGACCAATCAAGTCCCAGTTGGTTGCCCCCCAAATCAAAAGTTGCATTTTGCACTTAGACCCTTCAAGTATGACACTCCTAGTGCGTTCAGTGCTCGGGCTTGGTGATGACCGCTGCTTCACTGGGCGCTTGCCCCTACCAGGTGCCCTGTGGAACTCCAGGCTGCCCTCCTCACCGCTGCTGTCATCCATCACATGGGTTTTATTTCTGCAGTCTGTGGTCTTCAGCACAGTCTCTGGATGCCTACCTGCTGAGTTTTCCAAGCATCCAAATGGTGTGAGGAAAGTCTTCACATTCCACATGAGATGCATTGTGGCATAATAGATGGGGAGTCATAAAATCTGGATTTGAATTCAGACTTACCCATTAACTAGCTGTGTGGACTCGGGGAATTAGAAGGCTTTCTCAATATCCTCATTTAGAGAACGGGAGCAATAGTTCTACTATATACACAGCTGTTTTGAGGACCAAGAGAACTGATGTACATGAAGCAGGGTATTTCCCTTCAATCTTTCAGCAAAGGAGGCTGCTACTGGGAGGAAAGTCAGAGAAGAGGGCACCTGGGCAAATTCCAGGCTTGGTGGTGCCCTGAGCCCTGTCCACATGCACATTCTCTTGATATCTCTAGACACCCTCCACAGGTGCACGTGCACTAGCTACTGAGCTGGCTAATTGGTTTTAAAGTCTTTTCCTTATCTTTTCCCCTGGGAGGCCTCTTTTTGTAGCAGCAGTGTGCCTGTGCAGACAGACCGAGCCGTGACCAGAGACAGAGAATCTTCGCTATGGCCCACATGCAGCTCCCGACAAAAGCCAAGGGCTGGCTCCGGATCCGCAGCCTCCTGGTCCGACAATGCATGGCAGAGTTTCTGGGTGTGTTTGTGCTCATGGTAGGCAGGGTAACTGGGGGAGGGTGACGGGAGGTGGGCAAAAGCTTTTGGCACCTCCTGGTGTTCTTTCTCTGGAGTCCTGCTTCCTTTCAACTACCCACTCTTTCTCTCTCCGCTCCCCTCGTGTCTCTTATATGCCTCTTCTACTTCCTCATTTTTATTCCTGTCCCTTTCTCTCATCCTCCTTCTCTTTCTTTACTTCTTTTCACTTCTCCTATTTCTTTTCCCTTCCCTCTTTCTGCTTTTCTCCCTTCCTTGCTGATTCCTCACATTTGTTCATCAGTTCAACTCTTCCGGCTGGTCCCCTCACCTTCCCAGTCACTTTCCCCCGTAGATTTACCAGGCTCCCTATTCCTGGTTCCTTGCTCCTCATCTTCCCTCTCCTCACCAGGTCTTCACCCAGAGCGCTGTGGCCCAGGCTGTCACCAGTGGAGAAAGGAAAGGCAACTCTCTCACCATGTTTCTGGCTGGCTCTTTTGCTGTTGTGATAGCCGTCTACGTGAGTGGTAATGTCTCAGGTGAGGAGAGGGTGCCTGGTCACTAGACATGCTGGGATATGTGAGTGTGGGTGTATGGTGATGGTGAAAAGGTGACTCATGGACATTATCTCCTTGAGCTTGATCGTGCCCTGGACTGAGATATGCCTTTAGCCCAGTCCAGCTCCTCCCCTTTCCATATCTCTCCATCCCCCTTCCTCACGTTAATCCTCTGCTCACCTAGACAGAGATCTACAGCAAGGTATTAAGGGTAGGTGCTATCCTCTTGTGTCCCCTCACTGAAGCCCTCTGGGGTTCATCTTTGCTCAGGACCTCATCTGCTGTCCCCCAGAAACACACAGCATCAGTATGCCTGGCTGGAACCTTGAGACACAGGCACTGTAGTGGAAAGAGCTGACCTTGGCTTCATTGTGTGACCTTGACAAGTTGCTTAACCTTGAAATTCAACTTCCTAATTTATATGATGGGAATAGTAACATCTGCCTTAAGAATTGTGGGGAGTGACCTCGCTGGTGTGGCTCATTTGATTGAGTGCCAACCTGCAAACCAAAGGGCTGCAGGTTCGATTCCCAGTCAGAGCTCATGCCTGGATTGTGGGCCAGGTCCCCAGTTGGGGATGCCCAAGAGGCAGCCACACATTTATGTTTCTCTCTCTCTCTTTCTCCCTCCCTTCCCTTCTCTAGAAATAAATAAATAAATAATCTTAATTTAAAAAAAAAGAATTATGGGGACGAATAGCAATGGTACCTGGTGGTGCCTGTCAGTGACACTTTAACAGATTTTTTTTTCCCCTCTCGATCCTCAAAGGGGCTCACCTGAATCCAGCCTTTTCCCTGGCCATGTGCCTCCTGGGACGCTTCCCCTGGGCCAAGCTTCCCATTTACTCCTTGGTGCACCTAGTGTCTGCTTTCTGTGCCTCCGGAGCCACCTATGCTCTCTACTATGGTAACAGGGGGAACAACATTGGGGCATCTGTGTGTGGGCAGGGCTGCCTTGGAATGGTTTTGAATGAGAAAGATGAAAATCCTAGGTGTTCGCCTCTCCAACAGATGCCCTGCAGAACTATACAGGAGGGAACCTGACAGTGACTGGCCCTAAGGAGACAGCTTCCATCTTTGCCACCTACCCTGCTTCCTATCTGTCCCTGAATAATGGCTTCCTGGATCAGGTAGATGTGGGGGGAAGACCTGGGAGAACCCTGACCTTTGTCCCTGCCCTCTGCGACCTGGGCCTATTGTTAAGCTTCTGGGTGGGATGGGATGTGGAGTTAGGTCTATCTTGCCCCACTCCCCAACCCAGCTGCCTGTATTGACAAAGTCAGATGACACAGTGGTGGCCTGGACTGTTTGGGTGAGAGAGGGAAGATGGAGCACCTGGCAGCTGTTGGGAACCCCTCTGCCTCTGTCCACTCCAAGGTCCTGGGCACCGGGATCCTGCTTGTGGGGGTCTTGGCCATCCTGGACACACGGAATAAGGGAGTACCAGCAGGTCTGGAGCCTGTAGTGGTGGGGCTGCTGATCCTGACCATCGGGCTGTCCATGGGTGTCAACTGTGGATGCCCACTCAACCCTGCCAGGGACTTGGGCCCACGACTTTTCACCTACATGGCTGGCTGGGGCCCTGAAGTCTTCAGGTATGAGACAACCTCCCCTGGTACTCTCCCTCCACTCACCTTCCTCTGCTAAAGGCTCTGTTCCTGGGTTTCCAGCTTTCTCCCTTAAACAGTTCTCTTGGTCTCTTAGGACAGTGCCCCAGTTCCCCCTTTGCCCTCCCCCTGCCACCCTTTTCACTGAAACGGTAAGATTTAGAGTTTGTATTCTGCGACACATATTACCTCTTTGGGCATTAGTGACCTCATCACCAAAACAGGTATATTCAGATAATTACCTAAGGCAAGATGCTGGACTAAGCTTTCCTGGGGACTCCTCCTAAGTGCTGGGCTTTCATGCCAAGACACCTTCTTCCTGGTGTCCATCACCCCAGAAACTGCTTAGGGAGTTCTCTTGCTACTGCCCCCAGTCCTTTGGGGGAAGGCTAGGTGAGTCACCGCTGATATCTTTATTTTGTCCTCTTGCAGTGCTGGTAATGGCTGGTGGTGGGTGCCTGTGGTGGCCCCTATGGTGGGGGCCACCCTTGGCACAGCCACATACCAGCTGCTGGTGGCTCTGCACCACCCTGAGGATTCAGAGCCAGCTCAGGATCTAGAGTTGGTTCAACACAAAGCCTCAAATTTGGGAAACAACTGACTCTGACTGGATGCCACAGTGTAAGCTATGATTCTGACACAACAGTCCTACCTCCCTCATGGACACTAAAGAGGGCCAGAGACCCAGACCTGGCGACAGCAGGCCCTGGGAAGCTTCTCTGTTTACTCACCTAGGCTTCCTCCTAAACTGGGGAGGATGCCTGGACAGGGAGACCAGTAGATAAGGTCCAGTCTTCATCCTCTCCTCCCCCAAGCCTGTTTTGGTATCCTGCGGGCTTCCAAGAACGCAGTTCCTCAAAGTGGCCGCCAGAGGGTGCGCATCCTAGGAGCCGGATCGGGAAAGCTGCGGGAATCTGCAGGGTGATGGGGGCCGACTGTCCGGTGGAGGGGCATAACCCTGGGGACTTCTTCCCAAGCTTAGTCCCCACTGCCTGACTCCCAGGTCTCATAACCGCAGCGCCTCTGCCCCTAGGTTCAGCCAGCCCCCAGATAACAGGTACAGGTGGGGACACTGTTTCCACCAAGGGGGCGTGGTGAGGTCCGGGCAGGGGGAGGGTGGCGAAGAAGACCCGATGGGCGGTGGAACACAGCCATTCCAGCGCCTAGAGACCTGTAGAGCAAAGCGTAGAAACTGCGGCACACGCAATACGTAGACATTCTGGGCAGGGTGCAGTACAACGAGACGAGCTGGGGGAGGAAAGAAGGCGAAGACACAGAAGGATTCGAGGGGAATGAATAAAGGGTTAAGGGAAGGCTGGTGCTAAGAAAAATTCTCTCTGTCCATTGCTTCTCCAGCTCTCGTGCCCCTCCCCGAAGAAGATTCCTTTTCAGCAAAGAAGACAGTTTTCTCCAGTTGCCTTTTTTTTATTAAAACAAATCTCAGAACTGTCTCGCCTCTTGCTTGGTTCTTGGATGCTTTGGAGGCGGGATGGAGTCGGCAGTGGGTGGGCGGAGGACGCGACCGGGTCTTCTTGGTTTGCTTAAGAATTAAGACCCTCCCCCATGCCCCGCACAAAGATGGCGGCTCCTGCCTCGCCTTCTTCTCCCCAAAACCCCCTCCTGCCCCCCGCCCTCTCCCGCCACCTCCGTCACTTCCGCCCCGCCGTGGCCGAAACTGACACAAAGTAGCGGGCCGAGGCCCTGGGGGGAGCGGGGCTGCAGCTGGGGGGCGGGAGCCCGCGGGGAGCCGAGCCGAGCGCCCCCCGCCCCAGCCCCCGGCATGGGCAGGACGGGGCCGCCGGGGCGGGCGCCGAGCGCTGAGCGCTGAGGTGAGGCCAGGAGAGGCGGGTCAGCCCCGGAGCGCAGGGCGGAGGGCAGAGGCAGATGCGGCTGCGGACGGGGACTCGGGGCCGTAGGCGCCGGCGGGGGGTGTGGGAGGACGGGGTCAGGTAGTCGGGAGCCAGTGAGACGGAGAAGAGGGTGTCAGGGTGCCCGGGGATGGGGAGATGGGAAGGCTTCCTGTAGGACTGGCGGATGGGTGCTGAGGGGTGCGTGGAGGCCAGGCAAGGGGCGCAGGAGTGCCAAGGAGAAGCAGCTCATGGAGCAGCGGAGGGAGGAGAGGGGTAACCGGGGTCCCAGGGTTTGGGTGCCTGGAGAAGGGAGTCGGGGACTGGCAGGCTTTGTCTCTGTGCATGAGGAAAAGCAAGGGTGCAGGAGAGGTGGTCGCTCTGGGAGCTCAAAGCTCTACGGAGTTGAGTCCTGGGTTCTGTCCTTGGGTATGGAAAGTGGCCAGGGGTGATGTTGGAGGCAAGGGAGCTGGGGGTGTTGGATTCCATTTCCTGCTGTTTCCTGACCTGCCCACAAATATCCCTGCCAGCCTTCTCTGAAAGAAGGGGGTCAGTCTTCCTCGGGACAGCAGGGGCCGGGTCTAGAAGCAGAGCCGTTTTCCTCCATGGAGCGTTGCCTTCTTCCCAGAGCTGGCTATTTTTATCCTAAATGTGGCTGCAGATGAGGCTGGGGCTAGGGCTACTGCAGGGCGGGGGTGCAGGGCGTCCTGGCTAATGGCCCCGACAGACTGTGAGAGACTGGGAAGAAGTGAGAAGAGTCCCTGTTCCCAGGTCTCCCCTGCCCTTTCCCTTCCTAGTACAGCCCCCAGAGCGGGTGAGGTCTGGGGCCAAGCCAGCTTTCAGTCCCCCAGGGTCCTGGAGGTCAGCAGCTCCCTCACGAACTCTTTGGTAGGACCGAGACCCAGATCCGTGGGCCGGCGGTGCTTCCTGACAGCCTCCTGGAAAGGGCTGGGCTGGCTGTGGGACTCGAGATGCCCACCCATACATCCTATCCTTGGATTTCTCCCTCCACACCCCACCCTCCCGTGACTCACGCTCTAGACTGGGTGGAGACCCTGGCTGGGGGCCCTGGAGGAGGGCTTGGCATCTCTAAAATGTGGATGAGGTTTTTCTTCCTGAGCCAGGCACCCTTGGCTGCCAGAGTTGGGGAGGGTCACAGAGGAAGAGGTCTTCTGGTGTTCAGTATTGCCTGGTCTGGGGTTTGGAAGGGAGTCTGGGTTTGTGAAGAGGACTGGTGTGGGTGACAGGGCTGTGGCCAGAGTCTGTAATTATGGAGGATGGGCAGACAGGCAATTAGTATCTCTTGGGGCTGACAGGCTGGCGGGGTGTGCCCAGTAGGCTGGATACAGGGGAACTGAGGAGGAGGAAGGCTTTCCACCCAGACAAAGAAAGAGGAGGTGACAAGGGGACCCAGGACCTGGCAGTTTCCTTGTGGGCCAGGCTGGGGCATAGGGTGAGGCTCTGTGACTCTGTCTTGTAAGCCAGAACTTTTACCTTTTTAGGTGAAAGGAAGGACATGGGAAGATGGAAGGAAGCAGAGGTCCATCTGACTGATGCTCCCTGAACCTGTGCCCAGTGTCCTACTGACTGGACTAGGTTTGGGGTGGGAGAGAGAGGGATAACTCCCCAGGGGTTGGGAAGATCCCTTTGCTAGTCCAGAAAGGTGGCTGACCAGACTTAGAGGAAGTGATCTGGTGACTGGGCAGGAAGTGAAGGCCATACTTCTAGTGTGAGTTCCCCTGGAGGAGGTGATAATGGGCAGGAGGGTGGAATGGGAGGGTTATAAACTTTTTGAGAAGAGTGGAGCCTGCCCACCCTGTTTCCTGAAGCTCTGCCAGGTGTTTCCTGGCTGGTGTTCCCTCAGCTGCACCCTTTGGTGGAAATTCTGCTTTCCAGTAAACACGGGCACCACTCATTGCCACTAGGAGGGCCCATGGGTGCCTCTGTTGTTCCTGAGATGGGTACCTGGAGCACTGTGCCCTCCTCTCTGCCCCCTTCCTTTCCCTGCAGGTCTTGGTTTTTGTAAACCGTCAGTCCCCTCCGTGTTGTCCAAGGCAGAGGCATGGGGGGATGTGGTGGGGAAGCCTCCTCTCTCAGGGACCCATCAGAGCAGTAAGCAGAGCGTTGGTGGGGAGTTGCTGAGGACAGAGGGACAAGGTCAGAACTGGGGAAGAGAACCTTCAGGAGGAGTCTGAAGAGGGGAATGAAGGGTCGCCCTCAGGTTCTTGACTTCATGCACGTGTCACCTTCCTTCAGGGTCTCCCATGGGATTGCTGGGACCTTGCTGGGTGAGATGGCATTGTGTGCAAAAAAGCGCCCCCCAGGTAAGACAGGCAGGAGTTGGGTGGGGGGCCTGTTGCCGTGGCTGTCACGAGTGGGTGTTATGGCTCAGGGAGCAAAGGGGAGAGGGACACCTGGCAATGACTCTGAAGGAGGGTAGTTTGGTACTCCTACCCATCCCGGCAGGATCCTAGGAAACCGAATTCTTTCCTTGATCCCTGAGCTAGATTCTCTGGGAGGGTGCTGAGTACCTGCCCCTCACCCCTAGACGCACAGATCATTGTTATCTGTGGGCACCTGGCGCTCCTGTTCCCTGGCCTGTAGAGGCTGGGGAGCTGTTCCCATCTACTCTCCTCCGTCCTCACACCTCCAGGTCTCCCTCCTTTCTCCCCTCCCTTTTCCATCCACTCGGGTCCTTCTCCTTTTCCTGTGGGCGGGGTGGGTGGGACGAAAGCGGTTGCCCCCGACAACGTCTTCCCCTCGCCCGCATTGGCCGGGCGGGGAGGCGGGGCTGGGCGAGAGCTTTCGCCTACGCGGCGCTGGCAGGCCGCGGCCCTGCGGAGGGGAGCGGGTGGGGGCGGAGCCCGGGTGCACGCGAGCCGGCTCGGCTCTGGACGGACGCTAACGGGGTCGCGGGCCCATCCGGACCTGCGGCCGCGGCGCAGTTGACAGCGTGGCGTCCCCGGGTGAGGGAGGCCGAGAGAATGGCCGGGGCGGCAGGTGGGGTGCGCGCCCGACGGCCCGAGCTCCCCTCTGAGTGGCCACAGCTCCTGCGCCTTCCCGGGGGGCCGCCCCATCGGCGCCGCTGAGCCCAAGGACCGACCGACAAACAGGCCGCCCTTCCCTGCTCTAACCGGGATCATGACGGTCCCCAAGGAGATGCCAGAGAAGTGGGCCCGGGCCGGGGCGCCCCCCTCCTGGAGCCGAAAGAAGCCCTCTTGGGGGACAGGTAACGGGAGGCAGCGACTGGCCGTTTACCCGAGTCCATAATTTTTCCTCTCCTAATCTTCACATTTGCTTGTCCTCAACCTTCCCCAACTTTCCCCGTTCCGCTCCTTTCTAGACCTAGAGGTACTGGTTCCGAAGGGTCCGGTCCCTGCCTGTCCTTTTGCATGGTATTTGGTGACTTCAGAGAGGGCTCAGCCAGAGGGTCCCCTCTGGGGAAATTTCTGAGAGTAAAGTGACGATGCAGGGTGGGAGCACGCTGGGTAGGCAGGGGTGCTGTGGTCTAAGGTTTTGCTGCTGCAGCATGCTCTGCAGGGGTCTTGGGAGGGGATGAGGGAAGGGGTCTGGGATGCTGCTTTTGGCTTCTGGACGGGATTGAGGCATTATGTTTACTGTCTAACCAGATGCCCCCCTTTTCAGCCTGTGATAGTCGTGACCCTGGGAGATGGGCTGGAGAACCCTTCATAAGACACCCCATGTTCTGTACCTGAACTCGGTGCCTGCAGTCCCGGGTCTGCGGAGGTTTAGGATAGGTGTAGGTCATTTGTCACTCAGTCAGTGGCAAATGTGTTATTTAGGGGAAATGTGTGCAGATGGCACAAGAAGGGTTACCGTTCCAGAGCATTGTTTCCAGTATCCCCACTCCTGCCTCCTTCATGTCTGTCTCAGTCTGCGTGACCCATATCCCTGACCCCCCTTCTACTTGAAGATGAGCTTTAAAATAAGGTGATGTCATTGTAGGCCAGTCAGAAGCTGCTGCTGGTGACATGTGACAAGCAGAGGCTCCTTTAGGGGGGACTGCACGTGGGGCTGGGATACTGCCGCAAAGCAGTTCCAGGGCACCGTGACCCTCTGTCTCGTCACCCGCCCCACCCCCAGGTCAGAGGGGGACAGGACCACGGCCAGATCCACCGGGGTTCCCAGGGGAAGGAAGCTGTATGTCTCCAGTTTGCTGTTCCTCTGGGAATTCCCAAGACATTCATACCTAAGATGTTAATTAAAGGGATGGGGAGAGGACCTGAGTGCCCCCAGTGGAAGACCTTGACGGTTCCTGGGAAGAGGAGAAGGCATCCTGTCTTGTGAATGTAATGCCCACAGAGCCCAGCAGTCAGGCTAGCGAAACGTGGACTAGAGGAAAGAATTTAGTGACACCTCAGGAGTGGCGCTAACTCTTTAAGACTCCATACTGTGGAATCAACCAAGCACCCTCGGTGGAAGCCCCACAAAGTGGGGTGGGCCTGACGAGTTGTTGGGCCTGGCCTCATTCCGCTCCTCCTGACTGCAGCATCATTCTGTTGCAGAAGAAGAAAGGAGGGCGCGGGCCAACGACCGAGAGTACAATGAGAAATTCCAGTATGCGGTGAGTGGCT